TTTTTTAAGAAGCCCCCCCCCCCCCCCCCCCCCCGGTCGTATGGCTCGGTCTGAAACACGGTTCGGTACACCACGCCTGTCTTGGGGTGGGTACAGCAGTATCATGGAGTGAATACGATACGATAACTGTATTGCCTGCTGTATATATCCAGGCCTCTTTTAACATCAATTTTCCCCTTGACTATTGAAAGTGCACAAGTGGCGTAGATACACTGTACAAGTATGCATACGCGTTCTTATGTTGGCGTTCCATTACGGATACTCCTGAATCCACGTGGCTCCTTCTTTGCGCACCTACATTTTGTACTCCTTCAGCATCATGTGGAGCGGACCATAGCCGCTGCCATGAGTTGTACTCTTATGTTTGTACCGACACACTCGTGAAGTCGTGTTGATATGTGTTGGGCGTCCTGGCACATTGTAACTACTGTGTCATCGAAAGAAGCCATGGCTGTTGTTGCTGTGACTGACATTTTTATCGTGTGCAACCGCCGGCGTGTTTCAGATTGCGGATGAGCGTCTACGGGACGCCTCTATCGCGGCCAAGGCCGCAGCAATCGAAGCCGTCGAGGAGTCGTTTGTGCAGGGCTCGTTTACGGGCAACGAGGGCGAGGAGGACGACTGGCTTGCCAACAACGACTTCGTGCAGCTCAACATCGGAGACGAGAGTCCAATGGTGAGAGTGGGAGTCAGCCTGTCGCAACGGGGGCCACACGCGCTGGTCCGTGGTACAGCAGTGTGATTGCGCAATAACCTTGGCAGGGTTTTCCTTTGAGTGAACATGTTGGATAATAAATACAGCAGCAATCGGGGAAGTTGGGTTAGGGATAGGGTTTGCGTATGCAACAACCCCCTCCTTGTTCTGTTTCCTCGTTAACTTAACTTGTCGCGAAGGCGGTCCGATTGCGCCTCTCACGCTTACCATCAGCCGTTCTCACTTGTTTGTGCCATCCGAAGCCTTTACTGCATAGTGCACAATGATACACGTTTTTTCTGCAATTAACACATCACAAAACGACCCATCGCTCTATCCACAGATACGTATTTTTTCCTTTCAAGAAGAGGATGTCTTTGATGTGAAGGAGCCAGGCTCTCGATCGGACACAGCTCAGCAGCATGACAGTAGGGAGTGATGGTTTTTTTTTTTTTTTTTTTGCTGTTGACGTGGGGACGTTTTTGTTCCATCGCGTAATGTGAACTTTTCCGCTGTATTTTGTACCGCACGATGTGCAGGAAATTGAGGATAAGCTAGCCAGCCTGCGGAACAGGCTCGAACAGGGCTTGCCGCCGGACACGGCTCAGGAGCAGGCGGAGAAGAGACGCCGCGCGATGGAGCAGCAGATGAGGCGGCAATCATCATCGAGACCACCAAGGTCAGTCAGTTACATATAGTCTGTTCAGGAAGCGGTGTTTTCCGTGAATAGCATAGTCTGTGGCACCTCGATCAAAACAATGCCCACTTCAATCGGTGACTTGCGTGTCGATGGACGAGACTGCCGGATCTTTTCGTGCAAGAGCGATAGCGTGTGTTTCGCTCTTTGCCCGTCGATCGCGCTCTTTAATTTCATGTCCCCCGTGGTGTATTGTTGAACGTGAGTTTGTAATCAATCTTCCATCGTTACCAAACTCCGTTTTTTTTTGTTTGTTTTTTTTGCTTCAGCTTTGATGGAGACACGGCGGTGGCGGAGAGGCCCTCGTCGAACCTCGACGCACGGCAGGCGAACGAGGTGCGTGTCTCATGCGCTCAATCCAACCAAACGCACACAATTAACATCTGCCGTTTGGATGACATGTACCGTACGTAACGCGTGCTGGTTCAAAAGTTGTGTTGTGTTTGGCTTGGGGCACGAAACAGGCATGCGGGAATATGCCCACCGTTTCTATCGCACAGCTGACATGTACATGGAGTCAGAACCCGCCTTTAACGTTGCCAGTGCCCAAATATCGCCCAACATGTTGTGCAAGACGAGCAAGAAAAGACGAGTCAATGCCTTGTGTTCCCGATTTTCCTCCGGTTCGGCTCTCTTTCCTTCGAGACCAAGGCTAATCATTTTCTGTTGCTTTTCCCTTGTTGCCCGAACAGGGTGGCATGAGACCACAGGCACCAAAGGAGGCTCCCAAGATGGCTTCCGCTGAAGACGTGGAGCGGCTAAACCGCATGTTTGGCTCCATGGGTGGCGAGCCCTTGCGCTAAACCGAAGTCTGTAGAACGATAGCGTTAGCGGTGCGTTGACAAGAGTAGGTTTGGCAACGTCGGTGCGTTGGGATGGCCGCAGGGTCTTCGGTGGGTTGACAAGAGTAGGTAGGTTTGAAAACATCAGGGTATGTCGGCGTTGGGATGGCAGGAGGGCGTCATCCAACGTATCTGTCCCATTTGCAGGCCTGATGATTGTCATGAAGACCGGAGATGATTTTGTGTGGGCGGCAGTTCTCTGTGCCGCCCACAGTGAAGCATCTGGTTAGCCGGAATGACCTCCTTCGAAGCACTTGATATCTTGTTGTCATGTTGGTGGAGTGCCCACCATATTTTTGTTGCATTTGTTATCGAGGATATTGGCGACATGCAATCAGCGGCAGGTATCGAGAGGGACAAGAGCAGTCACGTATGTTGTCGCGGTTTTGTCATGGCTGTGTTACGCCGCGTGCGTTCTTCTCAGCAATGGCAAGAGAGGGCGGCCTTACCAAGCGGAGGCCGACGACACTGCAGCTGTGTTACGTAGCACCTCTCATCCGCAGCCGCAGTGGTGTATTGGTTGCTTCGGTTTGTGTTGATGAAAACCGAGCGGAACTGATAAAATGATTTTTGACGATTGCATCCAGTAACAGCAGCATCACGGTAACACCCAAATATAGAGAGAAACGGGAAAATTGAGCGCGCGTTTTCTCAGCGCTGCAGATCGTACACTTGTTTCGGGGAGAGGGGGGGGGGGTATCGGAGGAGGGAGGATTTTGAAGAGGGTCTCGTTTTGAACGGTACGCCGTCGATTGCTTTGCGGGACGGCAGTGACTCGATTTTTGTATGTGTTGTGGTATCGTAGCATAGACCGGGTGCATGTTCATAAATAGACTAAAGGGTTCATTCCTCATGGCTTGGATTTCGCTGTATCGGAAGCATTTTGATTGGTGTAATTTTGAGGAAGAGCTTGATGCACTCACCAAATGACAAACATGTTTTTTCGTCTCGTGGCGCAGCCCAACGCCGGGCAGTTGCACGCGCCCCCCCTTGGACACCATCAGGGAGAACAACACAAAGCAGAAAAGCAGATAAAATTTCTGAAGCACGTGCCCTGTAGTGGATGAGGAACCTCGAAGCCGACAGCACGCCAATCACACGCACACAACAACAAAGAAATGAGCGCCAGATGAACTCACCGCGCCTATGCTTGCATCGAAAACATTTGAGATGCGACTTCTACGTTCGCACGCATAGTTTACGGGGCGCCACGCGAACGCGCCCAGAAGCAAACATGCTCGGCGCTAACACTCCCACTTCTCTCCGTGGCACGCGAAAGCCTGAAAGCAGTCACACTTGGAACTGGTCCTAAATTTCAGCATCGGGTGCAGTACCCAGACTTGAGCCTCGCCAATACCATGCGAATCTCCCAGTACTCCGCACGCGGTGCCAGTTCTTTGACGTCTTTCAGGCTCACAGAATCCCACCGCCCTGCAGCGCATGTCTCGCTTGCCGTCCCTGCCAGCGTTCCTTGTCTTCCAGCACCACCGTCACTCCTGCCGGCGCTTTCATCCAAGCCGGGGTTGCTGTCGGTGCGGCTGTTGGCGGTGCTGCTGGTAGCGCTGCCGTCGTCGGAGACCGCCAGTCTCTTTGCATCGACGGTTGGACTTGCCGACTCCGAGTCCGTAGTGTTCGGCCTCGGCAGCACTACTCCGTCAGCAGAGCGCGAGGCAGCAGCAGCAGCAGCAGCAGCAGCAGCAGCAGCAGCCACCGCCGAACATTGACCCTTGAGTACCGGAGTAGTGGTAGTGGTGTTATGGCCACAACTGGTGCCCACGGGCTCGACGGCAGGCGCGCTGCGACCGCTGGTTGTCGGCGTGGCGAGACCGATGCCCTCGTCGACCTGCAGATCGCTCAGCGAAGGCCTTGAGTTGCTTGCCAGAGGCATCATGGGCGACACCGCGACGCCCACGTTCGTTGCTTCCGCCTTCGCCTTGTGGTGGTCGGGAATCTTGGGAGATGTTTCCGATGAGGCCGCTGGCGCTGCAGCTTTAAACGGACCACGGTCCCCCCCTGCTGCCGCTACTGCCGGTTGTTTGCCGCTACCCGCAGTCGCCGCCAAGAGAGCTGTGACGATCTCCTCCTCCTTGTCAGCGTCGATGCCGACTCGTGTCCAGTCGTAGGGAAGCCCAGCTTCGATGCAGTCTGTCAACGATCAATCCGTTAGGGAGATCAGCTGCAAGCCCAGCATCAGCAGAGTGTCAAGCGCAGAGAGGGGCGTGCGACAGCTGGACTAAATGGCATGTCGTACCAACATGCTTGGGTGCAGTATTTTTACAAACAAACTTCCCCGCCTTGAGGGCACTTTCGATGTTGAAGAAAAACGGCGAGTGTCGTTCAAGCAGGGACGACGGCAAGCATTTAACTCGAGAGGCACACTTCCGCTAGTGGATTTCTGATGCTGCATGCCAAATTATGTTGATTGGATAGGACTCCCAAGGTGTGCTGGAAGGTACGTAGGCAGTTTCGGATACATTGCATGGGCCAATCGAACGGCGGATACTGGACAGCAGTACAATATCTTACAACGCGCGATGAATTCAAAACCAACCAACCTGAAAGGTATCCCCGGACCGTGTTGGCCTTGTTGCACCGCACCTCCGCCACGGCATCCACGGACAGCCCGTCCTCGTGCCAAAGGCGGTGCGTCTCAAGCTTCGACAACGGCAATCGCGGCCGTGCTTTCAAGCCAGACACAGAGAAGGGGGCGAGAAGCGGGCGGGTGACAGGTAAGAACCATTGCTACCGGTGATTTGTGGTTGTGATTCCAACACGAGATGAAGAAATACTGCAGGGTAATTCGACTCCACGGGCAAAAATATGTGTCACTTGGAGCGCCGAAGTGGGGGCAAAACACTGTCGTGCTCTGAAGTTGGAGTAACATGCAGCAAGCACACGCGGGAACACGCATGTTAAATTTGGGCAAGAATCCATGGCAAACACCCACGTTTCATCCTTCCGCGTTGCGGTGCACGCACGACCTCCAACACGGGATTTGGCGGCAGCACGCACTGCTCTTTTGACTCCGAAAAAAACGCGTTTAGGGCAACACAAACTCTCGAGGAACAAAGTGGGAGCATTGGAGTATATGTCACCCACTCGTAGTCTCAGCGTTCCTGGAGGCAGTCGCCATCTCCTGCCCCCCCCGCGCCGGCTGCGCGTCGACACCCCCCCGCGCCTGGCCCTTGCCCTCACCACCCGCAGCAGCAGCGTTGACGTCACACCTCCTCGGGCTACCTGCTGCCGCCGAGGTGCCTTCGACTCTGGGTCCGTTCGCATCGGACCTCTGCAGCACCAAGTCCGGCATCTCGTGCATGGTCTGCGTGTGTATGCGTAGCAGGAGCGGTACAAAAGCGTTACGTACAACCGAGTTTGAACGCAAGCACGGCGTTCTTCCGAGGGACAAGGCGGGTTGTTCATTCATGTTACCGTGCGGCGTTCCTTGTGTGTTTCCCGTTCAAGTTCGGCTACTGGGCATGGAGGGAGAAGAAGCCACACTTCTTGTGATTAAAGAAGTGTGGCGATACGCAACATAGCAGTGGCAGTCCATGAGGGCACATGGTGGCAAAAACTGCGAACTGCGTTGAGCGTCGTGCCGAGACCCTCCATCAAGAGGACCTCAACTCCTGTTTTGGCAACAACACACGAAAAATGTCAACAGCTATGCATACCGTGCTTCGATCTCCAGCTCGCACCAGCTACAGTAAAGTAGCTGCGAGAGCCACCACACTCGGAGCACCAACACGCACCTCCTACGCGAATCTATCCATCCCAGTCTGTCTGCATTTCGTTACTGACGCTTACTATTATCCGATCCCCTTGCATGATAGACCTCTGCTGCGATTTCCTCAGCGGGCGTCGTAACGACGTATTTCAAGGTAATAGCACACAGGCACAACAACCAGCGAGTCACCTGCCACAGCCGCAAGCCAGCGTACGCATCCGCAGCGGCGTAGAAAAGCTGGTCAACACTGAGGGGGCGCTTCTCCCAGCTTCCGGTCCTCAAAGAAGCCGGCTTTTTCAGCTCCAGCTCCAGCACCTCGGCGCACAGGTCGGCGAGCGACCACATGCCCCTTCGCCGTCTCTCTGGCGCCACCTGGTGGCAGGTCCGATTGTGTTTCCGTTGAGACTTTACAACATGCGACACAAGTGGGTGCCTATGGCACTATATACCTGTCAAACGCGATTGTTTCGAAGCGAAGCGATGTCTGCCAACCGACTCGAAGAAGTAACCCAGGTGAAGACTCAGCAGAAACCAACATTGGAATACACTGGTGCTATCACGCAGCCACGGAGTGGACACAACCGAACACTTCCTTTTCAACGCGTGCGGGTCTCTTATCATAGGCAGCTTGTACCCAATCGTCCAAGCTAAACCCGTGCCCTCTAAAAACTTCATGGGTAACGGCTGCGTGTAAGCATATGAGCGTTGAATGAGCGCTACACGACAAGAGTAATTCTCCGTGGGTAAACATGTAATCGGTACTGAAGAACTTGAAGGGGGATCAGGTTTCCAATCCTATCTCGACGTAAGCGATTACTCCCATCTGCGTGGCCACCCGCGAAACAGGTTTGCTTGCTTAGAAGAACCTGCGTGGACTACTGGTGAGGTCCCACAACATACTCGCAGCGTTTATACCGCAAGCGGCAACGTCCGCAGCACGTGGTGCAGAGCTTGCTACGCCGGAGCTACACCCACGCACCTTGCGCTTGGCAACCTCCGACAGGTCCACCACCCCCCCCACCCCGCCGCCCGCCCGGAGCTGGTCGTACTCCCTCTCCAGCCGATTCACGTCTCCCCCGACCCCTACCCCGGCCAGCAAGATGGCAGGGTTGGACAGCACTCTGACCAAAGAGTCCGGAAGACGCGGCGGGGGTGCCGTTGGGCGACTACGGTGGTGCTGCTCGTGCTCCACCGCGCTCTGTCCCATGCTACTGCTGCTGCTGCTGCTGCTGCTGTCCACGTGCTGTTTCGCTTCCGAGTGAACTGATGGCGATGTCGGTGACGATGACGGGACGGGGTCGCGCATGTGACACAGGTGAAATATGTAGGCTGTTCCCCATACCGGGCAGGACCGCTGCAGCCGCCGCCGCTGCTGTTGCTGCTGCTGTTGCTGCTGCTGTGGTTGCTGGCCAGAGCTCGCACTGAAACACGGCCCACTGCTGGGGTTGGAAGCGGAGGTGCGGTTGGTCTGATTCTCCGCGGTCGCAACGGTGCACTTGGGGTGCTCCGGAGCGCAAAGCTGGAGCGTGGCCGTCGGGCGTGGCGCCTGTAGTTGTACGTCACATCGGCATGAAGAGGCATCAGAGAAATATGTCTGCTTTCTGGGGAAAGAGGGATACCGCTGGACCTTTCACTTGAACGGGACGTTGGAAACTCTGTTGTGCCGGCGCGCATACCTGAGGAAGCATGTAGTAAGCACCAGTAAGCACCAGTTGTTCTCTCGAAAGGATGGACGAAAAAAAACAAACAAGCATGGTGTAGCACTATCGACGCTCATCAAAACGCTTGTATTTCGTCTGAGAGGGTGCTCGAGCACTTTTCACGTTGAACCTTGGGAGCCCAAGGCACTCTTTGGTTCTATGAAAGGGTGCAAGGTCATCAACCACCGTCGAGCACAAAGCAGGATACCCTCGAGCCAACCAGCAAGGTTCGAGAGATGAACTTCATACAGACTGCACCTGACACACCAGGAGACTGCACCAAACCGAGGAGCGGCACCAATGACAGTAGCAACTCACCTCTCCTGCTACAAAGGAGACCTGCCATTCGATGTCAAAGCCTAGCACCTCTGGTTGGGCGGCCTCCAGAGCACGCGCCGCTTCGTCCGCGGCTTGAAACGACTATTTCGTGGGTTGTGGAAGGTGTAGTACCAGAGATGCGGCCCGCAAGTAAGAAAAAATGTGGTTAGAGTATGTAGTTAAGAAGAAGCTGGGACTTTCGCGAAAAAGAAGTCAGATCGACTAAGAAAAACACCTTCAGTGGATCCTACACTACTGTAACCTCCATGTACACTTATGACTGATGACAGCTCGGCGGCGGCGACAGGCTGCAACTGCTGTATACCGGGAACAAGGTCGAAATCTGCAAGTTCACCACACAGCAAGTGTCTTCATGGGCCACCTTTTTAGGCTCACCAAGTTCAGAACCTTTAGGATATCCGTCTTCTTGTCTACTCTACCCACGACACGCGGGTGGTTTGACGGAGGGGAGGGAATTGGGAGATCGCGGACGCAACAAGCTGGGAGCCGCCAAATAATTGACGAGAACAAGCACCGCGAGATGTATCTATATCCATACAGGGGCTGGAAACCAATTCACGCCGATGCGAGATAAAGAGTGTGGGGACGAAAGGTGAAACCTCAAAACCTCTTGAACATTACCCAGGTAGAGGTGTTTGCTGCAAACTGCTGTAAGTGGGGCGCACCCTCTGGTGATTACCGCTGCGTTCAGGATGCGGTGGAATCATGTTTCATGAGCCTCCCCGAATTCGTTTGATATCTAAATTTCGCGCGCGTTTCGAAGCAGCATAAAGAATTGCGAAAGCATGGATACGTATGCCCCAAGGCCAGGAAAAGGAGCACCACATACCCGAGCACCCGAGCATGTGAGACTCTCACATCACTGACCTGCACATACTCGATGTTGCCGTTGAACACCAACGACGGCATACCAGAAGGAACCCGCCTCTTGTTGTTGCTAACGACCTGCTTGGAAGGGAGGACTCTGGTGGAACTTCCCTCGGCTGATGAACCGTAAGTCGGGATGAACAGACCGCTCATCGATACACAGTCAAGTTGTTGCAGAGGGTGCCGTCAATGCTGCCGCGTGCAGGCTGCTCTGGTGCTGTCGGCTGTTGGTGGGGGCTCCGCACGTGCATGCGGGGCCACCACCGCCTGGGGGGTGCACAGCAACCGCGGCGCCCTCCGAGACGTCTGCCTTGTCTTGGGTTACCACTGCACCCCACCCGTCACATCGCTGATCGTCATCACGCGCGCTGTCATCTCCAACCATCACACGTGTCATTAACGTATGCTTACTCGCGGTACCGAGTGAAAGCGGTAGCTCAGCTTGCACTGACTGCATCATATTTGAATTTTATTTTTTAAGACTGTCAGCAGTTCGGCGGTCTGCAGTCTGCAGCATGTCGGTACCGACAGTAAATAGGTCTGCTGATGTGGCCAGCTCTACTTACAAGAGTAGGGACGAACTAATGTACTTCATTCGTCGAGAACACCATCAAGCCACATGCATATGCTTGTTGACTGTCGACCCCGTTGCCAAGTTCGATGTGCCGGTGCCAGTAGGATCCGTTCTGGAAAAGTAACCAGAAACGGGTACAACCCGGTTGGATTATCACCATTTCAGGGAACTTGGGAATTAATACGACACCAATTTCCGACAGCATCCGCCGTAGATCGCGGCGAAACCAATAAACCGCTGCCTGTGTCCTGTGCCTCGGAAGCATGATGCACGAGGCAGGTCGTGCCCGTTTTTCTCTCTCTCTGTGCGTCTCTCTCTTTGTGTGCTTTTACTGATTAGCACCACACCGAAAACTCGCGCGTCAAGCGAGTCCGACCCTCTGCCGAGAGGGGCCGGTATCCTGTGGAGGCTCCTATGGAGGCGGTGCCCATCAACGAGCGAGCGTTGTTGGTGGTTTGGTTGTGGGTATGTATGTGCAGTACACGGTATGTGCGGTACACGGTTTTCTCTGCGGGTTTTATGCTAGAGCGTCGGGCGCCGGGATTATATGACCATTTCTGGGTACAAGATCGACCCCTTGCGGGTACACCAGTAACCGATATCGGTCACACCGGAGGGTCCTAATGCCAGCGTAGTTGTACCCGATGGAGGTTTCTTCCGAAGTGGGTACGATGGTTTTTCGGCCAATCAGCTGGCAGCCTGGGGGTGCAAGCGTGTTGATTTCTAGTGTACCCTAAAGTGGTGATGAAGTACCCGGGTACGGTTCGTCAGACGCTCTGGAATGGTCCCAGTACGAAGACATGTGGTCTGCCACCATAAGGAAAGACATAATGGTCAGCTGAGTCGAGGGTTTGATAAAATTGGAGATGGCCCACTTCACCCATTTCTGGTTATTGGTCTCCGTGCTGCTGCTCTTGAAGTGTGCCGAAGGAATTTGACCCCCCTCCCCCCCCCCACCC